AACCTCTGTCCCGGGCCCTCCAGAGATCATTAACCAACGTGACCAATGCCGTTTCCGTGCTGTACCCCGGCCTGAAGCCCGACTGGAGGGGGTCCAGATAATCTGTTTCCTCCAGGTGCCGAGGGAATTGCCGTGCAACCACACTCTCAACAACCTTCGCCACAAAGCGAAGGTTGGAGACCGGGCGATAGTTAGCCAACACATCTGGATCCAGGGAAGGCTTCTTCAGGAGGGGCCTCACCACCGCCTCCTTTAAGGTCGCGGGGAAGACACCCTCCCATAAAGAAGCGTTTATAATTCCCTGGAGCCAGGCTCGTGTACCCTCCCGAGCCGCCAGTACCAGCCAGGAGGGGACTATCTGTCTTTGTGGAAAGAAAAAAAACCAATGTGATGATTTATCACAGACATGTCAAACACAAGGCCCGGGGGCTGGATACGGCCCACGAAGTGGTTTCATGTGGCCCACAAAGCCATCCTGGAAACAGTGAGGGAACGGCCCCCGCTGCCTTGGCCCTAGCCCAGGCTGGCCAGGAGGGAGCCAATGTACAATTTTGTGGTGGCCATCTATGCTGAAATGCATTCAGTCTTAGCTCCACAAGGCCGTCTGGAAACAGTGAGGAACCAGCCCCTGCTGTGTCAGCCCCGCCCCCTGGGTGCATGCTGGGGAGGTGTCACCCTTTGTGAGGAATGAAGAAATGCACCATGCCTTGGCGCTTGCCCCGGTCCCACCCCCTTCTGCCAGAGACCCTCAGATCTGTCCCACTCCTGCCCAGGCCCCCACAGGCACCCTTGACACCAACGATGTAGAGCTGGCCATGCCCACCCAGTAGGCCACACCCACTCCATCCACGCCCACTCAGTAGGCGCCCCCCCCCCCAGGGCAACCACAATGCTGATGCGGCCCTCGGGTTGAGGATTTAAAAAAATGTGGACTGAGAGGCTGGAGGGATTTGTATAACATCTGTGAGGGAGGTAGGATTAAAAGGTTATAATTACCTGTTGAAGAGAGGTTGGGATTCATTGTATTTAATCACTTTGGTTTTCTTTTGTCTTTTGTCTTTCTTTTTCTTTAAATTAGTATTTTAACTTTATGTAAAATTCTCCATACAGGAAGTCATTGACTTATGACAATTATGCTCAGAAGTTACATGAGTCATTAGAGAGAGAAGAGAGAAAAAGAGAGAAGCAGCCTAGAACTAAGGAGAAATTTCCTGACAGTGAGAACAATTAACCAGTGGAACAACCTGCCTCCAGAAGCGGTGAATGCTCCAACACTGGAAGTTTTTAAGAAGAGACTGGACAGCCATTTGTCCGAAATGGTATAGGGTTTCCTGCCTGAGCAGGGGGTTGGAATACTGCATCCAGTTTTGGTCACCGCGATGTAAAAAAGATGCTGAGACTCTAGAAAGAGTACAGAGAAGAGCAACAAAGATGGGGACTGGAGGCTAAAGCATATAAGGAACAGCTGCTGGAATTGGGTATGTCTAGTTTAGTGAAGAGAAGGACGAGGGGGGACACGATAGCAGTGTTCCAATATCTCAGGGGCTGCCACAAAGAAGAGGGAGTCAAGCTATTCTCCAAAGCGCCTGAAGGCAGGACAAGAAGCAACGGATGGAAACTAAGCAAGGAGAGAAGCAACCTAGAACTAAGGAGAAACGTCCTGACAGTTAGAACAATTAACCAGTGGAACAACCTGCCTCCAGAAGCGGTGAATGCTCCAACACTGGAAGTTTTTAAGAAGAGACTGGACAGCCATTTGTCCAAAATGGTATAGGGTTTCCTGCCTGAGCAGGGGGTTGGACTAGATGACCTCCAAGGTCCCTTCCAACTTTATTGTTGTTGTTGTTGTTGTTGTTGTTGTTGTTGTTGTTATTATTATTATTATTATTATTATTATTACCTCCAAGGTCCCTTCCAACTTTATTATTATTTAGTGGCTCATCGTGGCTGATTTCACAAATTTTTGTGGTAGTCATTAAGGCAACAGATTGAGCAAAACCATCATATGCGATCTGCATTTTGTGCCAGAAAATAGAAATAAATATCAATTTCCAGCAAGAAATATCATAAATAGCAGTCACATAACCGGGGAACACTGCAAACGGACGTAAATGCAGCCCATTTCCTGAGCACCCAAAATGTGATCACATGACTGCAATGGCAGTGGGGGGGGGAGCAGTTGTAACTTCAAGTCCAGGTCATGAGTAACTTTTTTGAAAACAGTATTGAAGTGGATCAAGGGAAGTCATTCCTCCTTCCTATTCTGCTTTGGAATATAACACACACACACAAACAACACATCCTGTTATATTCTGGGTGCCACATTTTATAAATAACACTGAGAAGCTGGAGCATGCGACGAAGAGCAACTGAGATGACAAAGGCCTTGAAGGAATAGCAAAGAATTTAGGGCAATCTAATCCTAATTCTATTCTATTCTAATCTAATCTAATCTAATCTAATCTTAATTTTAAAAAAAGAAGACTGTGGGGAGACCCGAGAACTTCTTTTTAAATATAAGCAGTCCTTGATTTACAACCAATCATTTAGTCACTATTCAAATTTACAACAGCACTGAAAAAAGTGACATGACCCATTTTCACACTCAAAACCATTGGCCACTTAATCAAAATTCGGATGCTTGTGACAACCGGTACGTATTTAGAGCAGGGCTTTTCAACCTTTTCAGAGACTGCACCACTTTTAGGATATGGCAATATTCGAGTACCAGCAGTCACCTAGCAGGTGGGCGTGGCCTGCTCACTGGACACTCACTGGACACAGCTGACTGGAGACAGCTGGGTCGCCACGGAACAAGTCGCACTGGCTAACTCGATGTGGGGACAACTCGGTGCCCCACAAACTCGCCTCCCCAAACTGCTAGCAGCCAAGCGCATGCACATGCGCACGCATGCGCACACACCACATTCCAGGTTTGGGGATTTTTATCCACAGAGAAAGGAGAGGGCCTTCTCCTGAAGCCCAGGCACAATTGGCAATTTGCTAGCTCAGATGTGGATACAAATCTCCAAGCCTGGAATATTTGTGTGTGCACGCATCTGTCTGTCTGTGTGTGTGTGTGTAGCACGCTCAAGAGATGTTCTTTTCCCAATCTCAGACGTTGTTGTTTCCCTGTCCCGTGCCCCCTCCTGGCAAAGCAGGAAGTGGAGGACGTTTGCAGGAAGCAGTTTCCTCCAAGTCCAACTTCTGTCTTAACAGATCCCTGGAAAGCAAGAGGCGTCAGGGGAGCAGCGCTCCTGGATCCTGCACAAGGAAGGCTGGCCCTTCTCGAAAGGGAATTCCCATTTCCAATCGTGAGTAGTAAGGATGCTGGCTTGTTGGGGCAGCCTTCTCTAACGCAGCTCCCCTGCCACCCCCTCCTCCTCTCCAGAGATCTGCAGGAGAGACAGAGATCTGAAGGGCGAGGTGCAGCCTTCATATTGGCCACTTCTACCTCTCCAAGCCCTCCTCGATGAAACATACATTATATACTAGCTGTACCCGGCCACGCGTTGCTGTGGCTCAGTCTGGTAAAAGCGTGTGTTGCTTTTATGCCCAACAGATGGCGCTGTTTTTCAAAAAAAGCATAGTCGCTCACTAAACGGGAGCCTCTTAAATCGCCCATCAAGTAGTGCTGAGGGCAAAAATTAATCAAATAAAATTTTGCAGCTCTCTCCTGTTACTACATCCTATTACCTCCAGAACGCGCCCTTGGATTGCACAAGGGGCTAGGCTAAAATCCGGTTGAGTAGTTTGCAGCCAGGTGTTCAGTACATATCTTGCCAATGTGGTTTTAATAGGCCAGGAAGGGACAGGACAGTGATGGCGAACCTTTTAGAGACTGAGTGCCCCAAAACCATCCCCCCACCCCGTCCCCGCTCCGCCCTGCCCGCTGGACCACCCACCATCTCCACGGCCTGCCCAGATCACCCAGGCAGCCCAGCAGCGCCCTGGTGGCCACGCCCTCCGCCCATGCCCCACAGCAGCCTCTGCGTGCGATGGGGTGCAAGGGCGGAGTCTTGTCCCCCACTGCCTGGCTACCATGTCCTTGGTTGCGCTGCTTCATATGGGCTGCACCTGGGGGCAACTCTCCGGGGGGGGCTGCTGGTGAGGAGGGGGCCGTGGGAGGAGGCGGGGCTGGAGCAGAGGTGTGTGTGCCCACAGAGAGGGCTCTGAGTGCCACCTCGGGCACCCGTGCCATAGGTTCGCCACTACTGGGATAGGAAAACCCGAGGAAAACTTTCCAATCAATAAACCATGGTGGACTCTGCTTGTTTTGCCCTATTTGGATTCTCCTCCCCAGTGGCAGCCCATCAATTTCAGAACTGCACAGCCACAAAGACAGAAGCCTTCAGCCTCCCAATCCCTGCTTAGAGAGGGATTTGCATTTCGGTGAGAGTCAGGCCATACGCCCCCAATCGAAGGAAAACCTCAAATCCAGTGGGTCAGCCCAGCTACCTCGCCCCTCCGGTTCCTTCTCCTTGCCCCCTGGGCACAGACCCAGTTGCTGTTCCTCACCACAGCTGGGACGGGACTTGAAGTACCTCTGTATTGCAAAGCAGTGCTCCCCCGGCGCTCCCGCCTGCCGCCATGCCGACAGCCCCGACTAAAGGCCGTGCGCTCCAGGAGACGGCAGCCGAGACTACAGCAGTTTTGCAGCTTGTCAGCGGTGCTCAAAGGCTGCCCAACTTTACTGTGGAATTTCGGGGTTGGAAAGCGGAGGGGCAGCGCTGGATAAGCCTCCTTTCCCCCCCTCCCCGCAGCTACCTCCTTCGGAGCCTTTGTGATCCCGATGGGCCTGCCGGCACAGATCCACCAGCTTCGTCCTGCAAAGCGCGGCTCACCCGGTGCTCTTGTCCGCCGCCATGCTGGCAGGCCAGTCGAGATCAAGAAGGCTCCAAAGGAGGTAGCTGTGGGGGGGGGGAACAGGAAGCTTTCCAGCAGGTGCCGCCATGCCTACAAACCGCTCAAAAATCTAAAACGTCCTGAGGAACTCAGTTCAGGGAAGCCTGGGGGATGCTGTGTGGGAGGAACAGGCCTGGGAGGACCCAAGGGTCGTGGTATAAAACAGGCCTTTGGAGGACAAGCTTGGGCCTGCGCTAGACCTCCAAGAGTTTTTCCCATCAGTGAGATAGCCACTGTTCTGCTTCACAATTCGCACATTCATTTAATCTGGTTGCATCAGGAACAGCAGGGGTAGGGGTAGTTAAGCAAAGCAACTGGTAGGCCCTATTACACTTGTATCTCGAGAACTACGTGTATGCTGGCCAGGGAAATCTGGGGCTCAAAATCTGGAGGTCACAAAGGTAGAAAGCTAAAATGTGGAAATTCCACAATCAATGTACAAAAAACACCACCCAAAGGCTTCTTTGCTAGTAATTTCACAATTTCTGCAAAAGAAAATATTCAGAAACATCGGCTGATAATCAGAAACAGGTAATTAGCCTTTAACAACCTAACATTTTCCATTTTCTTCTCTCCACCAACACCTGAGATGTGTTGACTAAAAAAAAAAGCAGGGCAGAATTTTTGTCCATCCATCCCCCCATGGGAGGTCAGAAATGAAATTCAAATCTTCCCTAAACACATCAACTTTTGCCTCATGCGCATTTCATTGTGTACAATAAGAGATCATTTACTTCTGAAAGACTACAGACCGGGGATTTGAAATGTTTCTTCCTTGTGTGTAAAAAGTACATGATTTATAAGGTTAGACCTAATACTGAAATCTTTCCCACAATCTGGATACTTTTATGGTTTCTCTCCTGTGTGTGTCCTCTGGTGTTTCACAAGCACAGAAGCATAACTGAAACTTTTCCGGCACTTTGGACACTCATACGGTTTCTCTCCTGTGTGAGTCCTCTGGTGTATTACCAAGTGTGAATTCTGACTGAAACTTTTCCCACATTCAGGACATTCAAAGGGTTTCTCTCCTGTGTGAGACCTCTGGTGTATCACCAGGTGAGAATTCTGACTGAAACGTTTCCCACAATCAGGACATTCAAAGGGTTTCTCTCCGGTGTGAGTCCTCCGATGTATTATCAGGCTGGAATTCAGGCTGAAACGTTTCCCACAATCAGTACATTCAAAGGGTTTCTCTCCTGTGTGAGTCCTCTGGTGTATCACAAGGTTAGAACGGTAACTGAAACTTTTCCCACAATCAGGACATTTAAAGGGTTTCTCTCCTGTATGAGTCCTCTGGTGGTTCACCAGGTTGGAATTCTGACTGAAACTTTTCCCACACTGTGGACACTCATAAGGTTTCTCTCCTGTGTGAGTCCTCTGGTGTTTCACCAAGTGGGAATTTGCAATGAAACTTTTCCCACAAACTGGACACTCATACGGTTTCTCTCCTGTGTGAGTCCTCTGGTGGTTCACCAGGTCAGAATTCTTCCTGAAACTTTTGCCACAATCTGGACATTCAAAAGGTTTCTCTCCTGTGTGAGTCCTCTGGTGTATCACCAATTGGGAATTCTGACTGAAATGTTTCCCACAATCAGGACATTCAAAGGGTTTCTCTCCTGTGTGAGTCCTCTGGTGTATCACAAGGTTGGAATTCTGACTGAAACTTTTCCCACATTCTGGACACTCGTACGGTTTCTCTCCTGTGTGAGTCCTCTGGTGTATTACCAGGTTACAATGGTAACTGAAACTTTTCCCACAATGTGGACACTCGTATGGTTTCTCGCCGGTGTGAGTTCTTTGATGATTCACCAAGTTAAAATGGTAATTGAACCTTTTACCACAATCAGGGCACTCGTATGGTTTCTCTCCTTTGTGAGTCCTCTGATGGTTCACCAGGTCATAATTCTGACTGAAACTTTCCCCACAGTCAGGACATTCAAACGGTTTTTCTCTTGTGTGAGTCCTCTGGTGTTTTACCAGGTTGGAGTTATGACTGAAACTTTTCCCACAATCAGGACACTCATATGATTTCTCTCCTGTGTGAGTCCTTTGGTGTATCCCCAGACTGGAATTATGACTGAAATGTTTTCCACAATCAGGACATTCAAAGGGTTTCTCTCCTGTGTGAGTCCTCTGGTGTATCACCAGGTGGGAATTCTGATTGAAACTTTTCCCACAATCAGGACATTCAAAGGGCTTCTCTCCTGTGTGAGTCCTCTGGTGTATCACCAGGTAGGTACTATGAATGAAACTTTTCCCACAATCAGGACATTCAAAGGGTTTCTCTCCTGTGTGAGTCCTCTGGTGTATCACCAGACTGGAATTGACACTGAAACTTTTCCCACAATCAGGACATTCAAATGGTTTCTCTCCTGTGTGAGTCCTCTGGTGTATCACCAGGTTGGAATTCTGACTGAAACATTTCCCACAATCATGACACTGAAAGGGTTTCTCTCCTGTGTGAATCCTCTGGTGTGTCACCAGACTGGAATTGTTACTGAAACTTTTCCCACAATCAGGACATCTGAAAGATTTCTCTCCTTTGTGAGTCCTCTGGTGTATCACCAGGTGGGAATTTGCAATGAAACTTTTCCCACAAACTGGACACTCATATGGTTTCTCCCTGGTGTGAGTCCTCTGATGTATCACCAAGTTGCCATGCTTGCTAAAGCATTTACCACATTGGGAGCACTTGTAGGGCATCTGTCCTGTGGGGGTCCTTCTATAAACCACAAGGGAGCTATTCTGACCAAAGCTTTTGTCACATTGGTAGCACTTGTATGGATTTTTTCCAATGTGGATCCTCTTGTGCATAATCAGCTGTGATTTGCAAACAGTGCTTTTCCCACAATAAGCGCATGTATGGAGCTTTTCCACCTCTGATATTCTTGAGGAGATTTTAAAAATATGTGTGATCCCTTGTTTAGTGGTGTTTTAATTGCAGCTACTGTTTTCTTCCTTCCAGCACAAGGCCTACAGTACTGCCTGCCTGTGGACGCCTCTGGATGCTTCTCTAGATACCTCTCCAGATGTCAGCTTGGAGGAAGATGAACCAGTTCCAGGCACGTCTGGATGGTCAATGGCTCCAAGCAGCCACTTGAGGAGTATTTGGCTGAAGCACAGCTGCAGCAGGACAGTCCTGAGGCTTCAGGTGGGGAAAGCATGCACTGTAGCCAGTCAGTGAGGAGGAAGAGGAAGTACCTTCTGCACCTGATTCAAGAACACATAGAGCAGAGAAAAGGCAGGAACAGAGAAGGTCAGCCAGATTACTCGCGAGGAGAAAGCCTCGCCCTTCTTCACGGGCTGCACCAGAAACTGGTTATTTAGTACAGCACAGATGGAAGCAGTCCTGGGAACAACCTGTTCATTTCCTAGCTGTGTTTTCTGGTTGTTGTGATTCTTGCCTTGCTTTGGATTGACACTGCCTTGACTTGGATCTTGTCTTGTGAACTCTAGACTTTTCTTGCCTCGTGAACCCTCTTGTATTGTGGATTTAATTTTGCCTGGAGGATTTATTTTGATTGGGAAACCTTCAAGTGCCTTGTGGACTCATGGGCCATTGTTCTATGGACTAGCATTGGGCTGCTTATGGCTGGACTTAATTGAGACAGTTCTGAGTTTTTGGTGAAGGGAGTTGCAGAGGAATATTAACAAACCCAGTAAACCACAGTTACGTGTGTCTGTGTGTGAGTGGGAAAGCACACTGCCCTATGTGACAATCCAACTGACCTTTTCCTCCACACTGACTTCCAGAATGGAAAAATAATCTCCCTTGACTTTTCCTGTAATGTATCCTTGAGTTCAGCAGACTCTATTTTTTTCCAGCTTGAAATCTCTTCTTGATTTTCTCTTGTCTTTCGCCTGCTGGGATAGGAGAAGAATTGTGTAATCTTCTGAAGGAAATTGAAACTATTTTGATTTCTGGCTTGATTTGCTTTCCTTTTCAAAAATTATTTTCAGTTGTCCGGAGTGTTCTTATTGCCATCCTCTTTGTCTATAAGATTCAAAGAAAAGTGAAACTTTGTTTATATAATGCTTGCAGAAGATGTGAAAAAAAGAAAGCATACATTACATTTAAAAAGCAAACATGCTACAATGCTAGAGTAACCTCTTACATTAATTATGATTCACTGAACATTACAGAGATAATAATAATAATAGTAAAGTTGGAAGGGACCTTGGAGGTCATCTAGTCCAACCCCCTGCTCAGGCAGGAAACCCTATACCATTTCGGACAAATGGCTGTCCAGTCTCTTCTTAAAAATCTCCAATGTTGGAGCATTCACCGCTTCTGGAGGCAGGTTGTTCCACTGGTTAATTATTCTGTCAGGAAGTATCTCCTTAGTTCTAGGTTGTTTCTCTCCTTGCTTAGTTTCCACCCGTTGCTTCTTGTCCTGCCTTAGGTGCTTTGGAGAATAGCTTGACTCCCTCTTCTTTGTGGCAGCCCCTGAGATATTGGAACACTGCTATCATGTCCCTCCTCATCCTTCTCTTCCTTAAACTAGACATACCCAATTCCAGCAGCCGTTCCTTATATGCTTTAACCTCCAGTCCCCTAATCATCTTTGTTGCTCTTCTCTGTACTCTTTCTAGAGTCTCAACATCTTTTTTACATCGTGGTGACCAAAACTGGATGCAGTATTCCAAGCGTGGCCTTACCAAGGCATTGTAAAGTGGTATTAACACTTCACGTGATCTTGATTCTATCCCTCTGTTATCCCAAGTTCAAATATCCATTCAATCATGAAATTCCCATATTGACTTTAATCAATCACAAATTCTTAGCACTACAAAGGGTTATCATCAAATACATGTGGAAGTGTTGGAGATAGATTATACAATTGTACATATATGCATACAGAGAGAAATACAAATATAAATATATATATGTGGAAAATCCATGTTTTCAGCCTGAAAAATGTCCCAGAATGGTTATAGTCAAACCTTCTGAGCTACGTTTAGAGATGGGGGGGGGGCTTTAACTGCTGAAATGATGACTAAAGCCTCTACAAGATTTGAAACACCAGTTTTGCCCATGGAAGCCCTCAGCTCCAAGTATGGGCAGAAAATATTGTCCACAACTGATCTGGGGACATCCCCTTCAAGTAGTCCTAACTTACTGACCAGAACTGGGATTGGTATCTGTGTCACTAAGGACCCTGATCATTAAGCATGATGTCACATGACAGTGCCAACTTACATCTGTTCCTCTGCAGTTGTTAAACAAAGACATTTTTTCATTATTGTGACTTGCAATTTCCTGCCAGTATACCCATCGATTTTGCTTATCAGAAGCTGGCTGTGGAGATCAAAAATGGGGGATCATGAGTGTGGGATGAAGTGACCAACATAAATGTATACCAGTTGGCAGAACCCAAATGGGTGTAACTCCCTTTCCCTGCATCTTTATAACCGAAGGCTCAGTGAACGAGTGGTAAATGAGGACTACCTATACAACTGAACATCCTGAAAGGTCCTCCATAGATACTTTTTAAGAAGTGCTATATCAGTGTTTCTCAACCTTGACAATTTTAAGGCATGTGGACTTCAATTCCCAGAATTCCACAGCCAGCAATGCTGGCTGTGGAATTCTGGGAGTTGAAGTCCACATGCCTTAAAATTGTCAAGGTTGAGAAACACTGTGCTATATTAAGCACACTTGAACCTGGTTAATACACGGATGGAGCTCCAATAGGAAATACCCTGCTTGTTGGCTACACATGAAAGTAAAAAAAACAAAACTCCCAGGTGAGATCAGTGGCAGATCAGTCTGATATTGTTATCAAGAAAACAGCAGGTCCATAAGAGGATAATAAGAGTCCGCAAGGAGAAGGGCGGGATACAAATCAAATTAATAAATAAATAAATAAATAAGAGTTGAAAGGGACCTCAGAGGTCTTCTAATCCAATCCCCTGCTTAGGTGGGAAACCTATATCATTCTGGACAAATGGCTGTCCAATCTCTTCTTAAAAACCTCCAGTGATGGAACACCCACAGTGTCTGGAGGCAAGCTGTTTCATTGATTGTTCTCATTGACAGGAACTTTCTCCTCAATTCTAGGTTGGATCTCTTTTTGATAAGTCTCCATCTGTTACTTCTTGTTCTGCCCTCCGACACTTTGGCGCACAGGTCAATCCCCTCTTCTATGTGACAGCCCCTCCAATTTTGAAAGAGTGCCATCATCTAAACACAAGTTCTCCATGCGCCATTTTAGTCCAACAACTGAAGCCTCTCTGCAGCCCAAACAATAAACTGGCTCTTCTGCAGACCAGTCTCTGTTCCCCCAAATGCCCTGCAGGCAGTTATTAGAGCTCCCAGGCCTGTCCCTTGACCGGAAATTCTGTTATCTTTCTGAATATTATCAAAGAACCCCCTTGATCTCTTTCGAAAGCTGTTTGTAAATAACAGTGGAAAGCTTCTTTTTCAGGGTAGATTATTCAGACCTTAAAAGGACTAAAATTGAAAACCTCCACAGACAGGGCTGTTCCCTGACATGGGCAGAGAGAAACAGGGACACAGCAGCCACCAGAGAGGGAATCTGGGCAGGTAAGAGAGGCAGATTCGGGAGCTCCATCCCAAAGGAAGCCCACCTGGACAGGGCTGCCCATCGGCCAAGCCCACCTGGGCGCCTCTCGGGTCTCCCTCACCCGCCTTCCAGACGCCCCTGGCCTCCTCCTAGCAGGGTCCCCGCCCTCGCCTCCAGCCACGCTCCCCCGGCCTCTTCCCCTCCCTCCCCTCCAGGCACTGGGAGGCTGATCCTCCCCCCCCAGCAGCCACAGGGGAACGTGGGAACGGCGGTGCCCAACCTTCCGGGAAACGCCAGGAGCCCCCACGCTGGGAGCCGGGCTGCGCCAAGAGGAGGGGCTGCGGGGCAGGAGGGGGTCTCGGGGGAAGGATTTGAAGGGGGTCGGAGAGCCGTTCGCGGAAGCAGCAACCGAGGAGGAGGAGGAGAAGGGGGTGCAC